GCCAAAAATTCCTATAAATACATAACCCCCCAAAAAGAAACCCAGATCGGGAGTCCCGCCGCCGCAAGCCTCTGTAGCCACCAAAACCCAATCGGGACCCTATTCCGGCACCCTGCCGGAGGGGGGGTCCATCACCGGTGGCGATCTTCATCATCTCGGCGCTCTCCATGACGAGGAGTGAGTAATTCACCCTTGGGGCTGAGGGTATGTACGAGTAGCTATGTGTTTGATCTCTCTCTCTCTCTCGTGTTCTTGATATGGCACGATTTTGATGTACCGCAAGCTTTGCTATTATAGTTGAATCTTATGATATTTCTCCCCCTCCACCTTCTTGTAATGGATTGAGTTTTCCCTTTGAAATTATCTTATCGGATTGAATCCTTAAGGTTTTGAGAACACTTGATGTATGTCTTGCATGTGCTTATCTGTGGTAACAATGGGATATTCACGTGATCCACTTGATGTATGTTTTGGTGATCAACTTGCGGGTTCTGTGACATTGTGAACTTATGCATAAGGTTTCGTCTTGACTCTTCGGTAGAAACTTTGGGGCACTCTTTGAAGTTCTGTGTGTTGGTTTGAATAGATGAATCTGAGATTGCGTGATGCATATCGTATAATCAAACTCGCGGGTACTTGGAGTATCTAGGTGACATTAGGGTTTTGGTTGATTTGTGTCTTAAGGTGTTATTTTACTACGAACTCTAGGGCTGTTTGTGACACTTATAGGAATAGCCCAATGGATTGATCGAAAAGAATAACTTTGAGGTGGTTTCGTACCCTACAATAATCTCTTTGTTTGTTCTATGCTATTAGTGACTTTGGATTGACTCGTTGTTGCATGTTGAGGGATAGTTATATGATCCAATTATGTTATTATTGTTGAGAGAACTTGCACTAGTGAAAGTATGAACCCTAGGCCTTGTTTCAAAGCATTGCAATACCGTTCTTGCTCACTTTTACCACTTGTTACCTTGCTGTTTTTATATTTTCAGATTACAAAATCCTATATCTACCATCCATATTGCACTTGTATCACCATCTCTTCGCCGAACTAGTGCACCTATACAATTTACCATTGTATTGGGTGTGTTGGGGACACAAGAGACTCTTTGCTATTTGGTTGCAGGGTTGGTTGAGAGAGACCATCTTCATCCTACGCTTCCCACAGATTGATAAACCTTAGGTCATCCACTTGAGGAAAATTTGCTACTGTCCTACAAACCTCTGCACTTGGAGGCCCAACAATGTCTACAAGAAGAAGGTTGCGTAGTAGACATCACTCGTGGACCCCCTACTTGTTCCCGACGCCAATACATATCCCCAAACTTCCAGAATAGAACCTAGATCGGGAGTTCCACCGCCGCAAGCGAAAAAACAACCGGGACCCTGTTCTGGCACCCTGCCGGAGGGGGAAACCATCACCGGTGGCTGTCTTCATCATCCCGGCGCTCTCCATGATGTGGAGGGAGTAGTTCACCCTCGGGGCTGAGGGTATGTACCAGTAGCTATCTCTCTCTCTCTATCTCTCTCGTGTTCTTGATTTGACACGATCTTGATGTACCGCGAGCTTTGCTACAATAGTTGGATATTATGATGTTTCTCCCCCTCTACCTTCTTGTAATGGATTGAGTTTTCCCTTTGAAGTTATCTTATCGGATTGAGTCTTTAAGGATTTGAGAACACTTGATGTATGTCTTGCATGTGCTTATTCTATGGTGACAATAGGATATTCACGTGATTCACTTGATGTATGTTTTGGTGATCAACTTGTGGTTTCTGTGACCTTGTGAACTTATGCATAGGGTTGGCACACATTTTCGTCTTAACTCTCCGGTAGAAACTTTGGGGCACTCTTTGAAGTTCTTTGTGTTGGTTTGAATAGATGAATCTGAGATTGGGTGATGCATATCGTATAATCAAACCCACGAATACTTGTGTGACATTGGAGTATCTAGGTGACATTAGGGTTTTGGTTGACGTGTGTCTTAAGGTATTATTTTAGTATGAACTCTAGGGCTGTTTGTGACACTTATAGGAATAGCCCAATAGATCGATCAGAAAGAATAACTTTGAGGTGGTTTCGTACTCAGCCATAATCTATTCGTTTGTTCGAGGCTATTAGTGACTTTGAAGTGACTCTTTGTTGCACGTTGAGGGATTGTTATATGATCCAATTATGTTACCATTGTTGAGAGAACTTGCACTAGTGAAAGTATGAACCCTAGGCCTTGTTTCAAAGCATTGCAATACCGTTTTCGCTCACTTTTGTTACTTGCTACCTTGCTATTTTTATATTTTCAGATTGTAAAAACTTATATCTACTATCCATATTACGCTTGTATCACCATCTCTTCGCTGAACTAGTGCACCTATACAATACCATTGTATTGGGTGTGTTGGGGACACAAGAGACTCTTTGTTATTTGGTTGTAGGGTTGTTTGAGAGAGACCTTCTTCATCCTACGCCTCCCATGGATTTATAAGCCTTAGGTCATCCACTTGAGGGAAATTTGCTACTGTCCTACAAAACTTTGTGCTTGGAGGCCCAACATGAGTCTACAAGAAGAAGGTTGCATAGTAGACATTACCGACAGCCACATGCTATGGATGATGTACTTCGACCGCCGCCACGCCGGCCAGGTCACCTCCCCGAACAGCGTCCTGCCCTACGGCCGCCTCAACTCCGACGGGCGGCGCGAATGGTGGGGCGTGCCCGGCCGCACCCTTGAAGCTGTCCTCGAGCACATCGAGGCCGGCAACACGCCGCGCCTGGAGTACCCGGCGCCCCCGTCCTTCTCTCGCCGCTGCGGTAATTCCTGGACGCCATGGCAAATGGAGACGGGGACCTCCTCGTCGCCGGGCTCGGGCTCTCTTTCCTCCGGTTCGCCGGTGCTCCGCCCCGTCAAGCTTGAGCCGCAGGAGACGCCGCTTCGTCGCCGCACCCGCGTCGACACCCTCATCATCAACGAGGGCGGCCGCCCCTGTCCTTCTTCCTACTACCTCGTCAGGCCGAAGACCAAGGCGGGTTTGCTCCCCGTGAAGGAGCACGAGGCCATGGCCACCGCCAACGAGACCGCCCTCAAGTGTGCGAAGGCGGACTACGTTCGCGAGTAGATGGAGAGCCAGCACCGGGCCTTCAAGAAGATCAAAGCTCGGCGCCGCGGACGCGAGGAGGGCGGCGTCATCATCCTCGACAGCAACGACGAGGAGGCGCCCGGGCCGTCCAACCCCCCGCGCATCGGCGATGCTGGTCAGGGGTGCGGCAGGGTCGGCGGTGACGATGACGATGGTGGCGACTACATCCGGTTCTACAGACTCCTCAGTATGTAGAAGGTGGACGGCGGCATAGTAATGTCGTTTTTAGTTAGTTTTAATTTATGTTTTTAAGTTTTTGTACAAATATGAATGAAAATCGTCAAGTTTGGACGAATTTTATGTCGTGTTTGGCCGATTTCCTTTTCAAAAAAGAGCGTTTGTGGGCGACCTGGGGGCGGCGGCTGGGAACCGATCGCCCCCATGTCGAAGTTATCGCCGGTTCACCCCTAGACGACACTTTTTTCTAGCCCCTGGGGGGGCGAACGGCTGGAGATGCTCTAAGATCCACAAACTTGTGCCGCTAGACTGCCGTGATGATTAATTGTTGGAAACCAAATTATATTCATCAAGCACAGAGAAAGGATCAACCTTGTCAATTCTCTCTTGGACTTGGAACAAGGAAATCACCTAAGGCCTCGTTTGATGGAAGAGCTTTGAAGAGGATTACAGGGGAATATGCCCGCAGGGCCCAGAATCCCCAGAAAACCCCGTCAGCCCATTTGATTCACAGGGATTAGATGGGCCAAACCACTCGGCCAATCCCCCCCCCTCCCCCGACCCACGCGGCTCAGCAACCTCTCGTAGCCCCTCGCGGAACGAGATTCCGCCGGCTCGCAGCCCCTTCGTCTCCAGCCCTCGCAGCAACTCCTCCAACGAGAGACGGGAGGAAAAGGCACTACTAGCCAAACTCCTCTGAAATATGTTGATTGGAGATTCAAAGGGATTTGAGGGGATTGGGTGGAAGAGAGGGATTCATCCAATCCTCTGAAATCCCCTTCCTCTCTGGGGCTGGAAATCCCTCTATGTCAAACGAGGCTTAAGGGTTTCTTTAGGGTAGGAAATCACATATGCTGCAATGTACTACTCCATATCACAAGGAACTGCAGCTATAAAAAGTTACTCGAAAAAAAAGTTACTCCTAAAAAAAAGTCAACAGAGCTCATAGAATCGATCGAGCAACCGAAAATTTGTTTGTGATCTCCAGCGATGTTGCCGACGAGCCATGCATCTAGCGAGATCCCTCGACGAGCTACTCAAGCGATGTTGCCGGAGCGTGACGGCTTCGCCAGCGCTCGTACCCCTCCAGCGCGTGCTCCGCGCGCCGCAGCACGTCCTCCTCCGACGCCATAAGCCGCTGCGCCGCCTCCGCCTCCGCCGCGGCGAGCTCGGCCTTTGCCTTCTCCGCCTCCGCCTCCGCGGCCCGCTTCAACGCGGCGAGCTCGGCCCTCTTCTTCACCGCCTCTGCCCGAGCCGCGGCGAGCTCGGCCTGCGCCTCCCCAGCACGCTTCGCCACGGCGAGCCAGCCTTTCGCCTTCTCGAGCTCCGCCCTCGCCGCCTTTGCTTGCTTCCCTTCTGCCGCCTCGAGCTCGGCCTTTGCCTCCTCCAGCTGCTCCCGCAGCGCCGCGGCCTCGCGCTCGCTGGCCGCCAGCTTCTCCTCCAGCTCGAGCGCGTACCGGAAGGAGAAGGACGCGTAGTTGGCGGCCTGAACACAAAGAACGCGATCGATCAGAGTCCGCGCCTACCGATGGAACAATTTGCCATTGAATTTGCTGGCATACCTGCAGAATCGCAGCGTAGCTCGACTTGACAACTTCGGAAGGCTCGTTCGCCGCGAGTGCGCGCCCCAGCGGCGTCGTGACAGCGCGGCCCTGCAGGAGTTCCCGTGCAGCCTCCCAGTCCGTGCCGTCTCCGTCGTGCCTGCTGAGCAAGTGTTGTGGCTTCCCCGGCGGTGGCGTGCTCAGCGCTGAAAGAGGCGGAACCTCCTCCTCGCCGTTGGCTTCCTTCCGAGTCCTCTTCTTTGCCGACGCCGACGCTCGCGCGGCCGCCTTCTTCTCGAGCTTCGTCTTCATCCTGTCATGGACAGAGGGATACATGCCTGTACACAAGAGCAACATCAGCGCTCAATGAAACAGGGGAATCAGAGGGATTTCGGTGTTGAGACTTGACATACCTTTGGAACTGGAAGTAGGCGGCGGCGGCGATGCGGCGACAAGGTTGCTGCTGCGGAGATCAACGGGCGCGCCACCGTAAGCACGCAGCAATTTGGCCGCCCATTCATTTTCCTCACCGGTTAGCACCGGCATCATGAGTGAGCTATTGGGCTCGCCCCACTCCACGGCGCAAGGCCACGGCTCCGGCGACCAGAGGAAGAAGAAGTCGTGTTTCCAGTCCATTAAAGAAATGGAATACGGATGCGGCATCCCGGTGAAGCGCAAGCCGGAGTTGTCCCTAGATCGGAGAAAACACCAGCCTTTTTTGTGCTCGTGGGGGACGACGGACAGCCGGAAGAAACGCCGGAACACCGCGAGCGACGGCGGCACGCCGGTCGAGCGGCAGAGCGCGTGGAAGCCCGTCATGATGCGCCACCCGTTGGGCGTGAGCTGGGCCGGCGCGATGCCGAAGTGCGCGAGCGCCTTGAGGAAGAAACCGTGCAGCGGGACGCGCATCCCGGCCTCCAGCGCGCGCGCGTACACGCAGATGGCCCCCGGCGGCGGCGTGGAGTTCGCGCACAGGTCTCCGGCGGGGCGCGCGGTGTACTGATCCTTGGGTACCCCGTACTCCTCGCAGAGCGCGTCGACCTCGTCCTGGGTGCGCAGGAACGAGGCGAAGCCCTTGGGGTCCGTGGACCTGGACGCCGCGGCAGCGGTGGCGACGCCGTGGCCCGGGTTGGCGGAGGGAGAGGAAGGCATGATGCGCGCCGGTGCTCCTGCCGGCCGGCTGGCGTGGTGACGCTTGTCGTCCCGGAGCGCGCCTCCTGCTCGCTGTCCTGTCCTGCGAGGCTGCAACTGCAGCGGGTAGATGAACTTGCGGAGAAAAGTGCACACGCTATTGGTACTAGTACCATTTTTCGTTTTCTTTTTCTCTTATCGTTTATGTACATCACCCATGTGCAGAGTAAATTACACAAATCGTCAACTATTTGTTTCAATTTTGCACAAAACACCTGCTCTATAGATTTGTTGCACAAAACAACACATGCGGTTGTAATTCGTTGAAGCTAACTCTAACCCAGTGTTTAGATATGTTGATGTGACTTTCACGAGTGAGTCCTGCTTGTATGTACACTGTGACAAAGAAACCAGCCAGCAGGTCAAACCGAGGACATCTGATTGCAGTGTCAACTGGCCCGTTCATATTTTTGACTCAAAATCCAAATATTTCAAAAAAACCTAAAAAAAATCAGTACCTGACATCCAGTACTATTTTAAAACAGCTAATTTGGATCAATGGTTGGTAAATATTGGAAGGTTTTGTTGTTTCTTTCAGATTTGATTCAAAATTAAATATTCTAAAAAACTAGTAAACCATAAATGTATCCAAAACTGATCTGAAAAGCTCAACTCATTTGAAAGAAATTTGGGAGATATTGTTAATTTTAGTTAGCTCATTCTTTTTTATTCAAAATTAAACTTTTTAGGAAAATGTGAAACCATTCCAGTAAATCGTACATGTACTCAATACTAACTTTGGGATTCTTTTGGCTCAATTGAACCAAAGTTCTAGGACATATTAAAAAAATAGCTGGCCAGCTGATCTTGTCGTTTTTCTTTGTCATGCGTCCACTTACAAATGGGACCCACCCGTCACAAGCATCGAGGTGTCATCTGTGCGCGGCCGTATCGGCGGTGAAGTGCGTGTCGGGCCAGAGCCGATCTTGTAGGGCACGCGCACCTCACTGCAGAGGGTGACTGCGAGTCATGAGTCGCGTGAGTAGGAGGGTGAGCGTGAGTCGTGAAACCTAGCATTCGACCCAGTCGCCTACTCCGGCATGGTAGGCCGCATTCGACCCAAGTGTTGTTGCGCAGCACCATGAGTAGGTCGGGTACTGTAGGGCGTACAACCTCGCAACGGTGTGCTCGAAGAGGGCCGGCAAGTGGGCGTACGGCATCAGTGTTGCGTGGGCACTGCCATATATCAAATATTCGATGAAATGCGAGAGAAATTTAGGCAGACATTTGATAATTAACGCTGGATGGTTGCTTCCCGCAAAGCTGTCTGCGGACACGTCCGCGGACGTTTGTGGTGTCTGTTTTGCGCTATTTCCGTTGGAATGCCCTAATAGGTTTTGCAAAGCTTTTGGAATCTTTCATATTAAAACATATAGCAGGTTGTTTAAAAGAATTGAAACTTTAATATGCATGTCATAGAATGCACACGAACTAGTTTTGAAAGTATGTAGGAAACAATATTAAAGTTAGTACATACTATAGTACAAAAATGTGAAACGGAGGTTGAGCTACATGGAGTCGTTAATTTTGAAAAATTCAAATTAATACTTTTATGTTTCAGAAAAAATTACGATGACAGGGTTCAAGGGTGAAGACCCTAGTCCGTCCTATCCAACTCGACATCGATAGAGCGTGATTTCATCACCTTCTTGAGGGCTTCGTAGCAGGCCCCGGCACCTTTCGATTGCACATGGTTGATGGGCTTCAGGCTTGCCATCTTCCTAACATGTACTCTATCTTGTGTAGGGTGGTCCTGCTGGTCTTCTATCTTGTGCACATGTCCCCTTGGTCTCTGTTCTTGGTATTTCTTATCGACTCACGGTATTGACAGTCTATGGTCTAGAGTGAGAGGACAATCTAAATGGCAAGCCGGCCGCTTCTGGAGATGGCTCGGTGTATTCGGTACTATGATGTCTCGTGGTTTCTCAAGATGTCGCAGTTTCATTCTTCTTTGGTAGTTTTAATTGTCTCTTGTCAGGTGTGCCGTCTCATATTTCTCATGGCCAGTGTTAGTTTTTTCTTTTGCGGGGGGTAATTGTCAGTGTTAGGTCAGTTGCACTTGTGCAACTTGCTTGGGTACTGTCTCCTTTTTCTTTTGACCTGCTTGTATAAGGATGTTATAATCAACTTATAATATCTGTTCGTTCGTTTGTGGGTGAAAGCCTTTTCAAGAATATAGTTCAGAGAATTTAGAACTATCTTTTTGGGTGGATATAACCAAAATATATATATACTTGTTCTACAAGTAAAAGTTTGTAGCCACACAAGCCGCGTTTTTAGATCGGATATGCACATCCCCTAACATTTTTAGATACGGCCCAGATGCCCGTATCACGGTAGCATCCCTACCCAAACGGACAGAAACCGAACAAAATGGACGTCCGTTTGGGGTCGCGCGGTGGAGTTGGCCTCACGGTAGTGACAGTCCATGTTCTAGAGAGAGACGATAGTCTAAATGGCGAGCCGGCCGCTTCTAGATATTTTCCCCTGGAGGGAGAGTATCTGGTGCTACCAAGACTTAGATGCTACCGTGATACAGGCATCTGGGCCGTCGGATTCTTAAATCGGACGGCATCCAGGAGATGTGGGATCAGCTGGACCTGTTCGTGATTTTTGGACTCCTTGTAGGCTTTTTTGCAAACGTCGCAGAGTTGTTGAGAGCCGTCTGATCTGAGAATCTGACGGCCCAAAATCTTGTATCATGGTAGCACCTAAAGATTGGTAGCACTAGATATTTTCCCCTGGAGATGGCTCGGTGTATTCGGTACTATGATGTCTCGTGGTTTCTCAAGGTGTCGCAGTTTCATTCTTGTTTGGTAGTTTTAATTGTCTCTTGTCAGGTGTGCCGTCTCATATTTCTCATGGCTAGTGTTAGTTTTTTCTTTTGCGGGGGGTAATGGCCGGTGTTAGGTCAGTTGCACTTGTGCAACTTGCTTGGGCACTGTCTCCTTTTTCTTTTGACATGCTTGTATAAGGATGTTATAATCAACTTGTAATATCTGTTCGTTCGTTTGTGGGTGAAAGCCTTCTCGAGAATATAGTTCAGAGAATTTAGAACTATTTTTTGAGTGGATATAACCAAAAAAAATTATACTTGTTCTACAAGATTAGATCGGATATGCACATCCCCTACCTTTCAAACCCAATATTTCATACCTTTCTATATTTTATTAAGGGCCCGGCTAAACTCAGTCGACTAAGATTTAGCCAAGTTTCGATTGACGTCGGCACGGTTGTGTTGCTACGAAATGCATGGCCAGATGTCGCAACCGGCGACCCGACATGCTGCTAACGGCAACGATATACGCTGCGAGGAAAAAGGTTCGTGTAAAGAAAAGAAAAAGGAAAAACAGAGAGGACAAAGGCACTGCAGCTTGTTTTGGCCCCACGACCCGACGTCCGTCTGTGCATGCATGACCTTGCGTAGCTTCCTTTCTCTCAAAGGCAGGCGCCTGGCTGTCTGTCTCTCTCGCTCAACTCCGTCAAGTCACACCGCAGGGGCACCACACCTGCGGCGTCGGTCGCATTCTCTTCATCCTCTGCGCGGACCTGTGGCTGTGGCAGGACGCTCGCCGTAGCCAGCTACGCTCACAGTCACATACTCCCTCCGTTCCCAAATATAGTGCGCATAGATTCAGGCTCTAATACCAAGACATGCGCTGGAGGCTGGCTTTGGACGAGAATAGCCCTGCTTTCTCTGTTCCTCGAACACACAATTAGTACTAGTACTAGCTAGCAAACACCGGCGTGGACATGCAGCCAGGGACGCTCCGACTCCGGCAAAAGGGAAGAAGCTAGCCGCGGGCGTGGTGATGCCGGCCAACACCGGTGGAAGGGAAGAAGCCAGCCGCGGGCGTGGTGACGCCGGCCGCCGGCGGCGGAAGGGAAGAAGCTGGCCGCAGGCGGTGCCACTGGCCGTCGGCAGTATACGCGTTGATGCTGACCATGGACACGGAGAAGCAGAGCGGGGACACCGGCCACCATCACGGACGCGGTGCTGCTGCCCGCCTGCGGTGGACGCTGGCCGCCAGTGGAAGACGTGGAGAAGGCGGCCAAGGACGCGGTGATGCCGGCCGCTGGCAGCGGACGCGGAGAAGGCGGCTGCGGATGTGATGACGCCGGCCGCCTCGCCACCGCAATCTCCTGGATCCGGCTGACACAGAGGAAAGGAGGCCGACCCAGAGCTCACAGGAGGTCTTCGGCGGCACACCTGACCGCCTCGCCACAACAATCTCCTCGATGCGGTCGGGAGGAGAGGCATGCGCAGGCGGCGAGGAAGGCAGGCGACCCCGCGGCCTCGCGCCACTACCGGCACACGCACCAGAGGCTGAAGAAGCGAGGACGCGCTCAAGCATGTCCTCGTGGAGCTGCCCAAGCTTAGGTGCCGCCGCTATGTCCGCTCCAAGATCCATCCGCCGTGGTCCTCGGCCGTTGCTCCTTGTCGCCGGAGCAGGGGAACGGGAGGCGATGGCGTGGTCCTCGTCGCTGCTGGTCCAATCCCGACTCCCGGCCGCCTGTGATGCGTGTTGTGTGCGGGAGGAAGGGGATAAAGGCCATGGGTGCGTCCGTGCAGTTGCGGGGTTAGTTTCGTCCAGAAGAGTGGAATAACGCTAAAAAACTTATGCGCACTACAAACTGTAACGGAGGGAGTATTTCCTGCTGAAAAGCAAGCACTGTTCGTAGCCAGGTTTTGTTCCTCCCCTTTCGTTTTTGCGGCCGTTGGTTGCTTTTGTACAGACTAGCGCTCTGTGGTTAAATCTCGTGTTTGGCCATTTTCTTATCCTTTTCTTACCGCTAGAGTACATGAAGGTAGGTTATAACAGTCTAGGGTTGCACACCCTATCATTTTTTTTCTTCTAAATATAAAACATAGTGTATGCTCGCACCTACCATCGGACACTTTGACGGTAGGGTTATACAGGCTACCCTGTTTGCGGTAGGGTTGTTCCCTACTGCCAAGG